GTGCAGGTTGTTATAAATTCACTCTTAGAAATTGCTTAACTCTCTTGCGTCTAAATCTAAACAGGTTTCGCAAAATTCAAATTGAGTGTATAATTGTCAAGACAACTTAAGATATCGAACTAAATAACTGATCAAATCGGCGAAAAAAATTGAAGAATTAAAAAGTACGTAACAAATTGTTGAAATGATCAACATCGTTAGTTACCTTCATGATTCCTTTGGCTTCCGCAATCCCAATGTGACTGCTAACTGAGCACTGCACGGATGCATTAGCGTTAGTGCTCGGCTCGCAAAGTTGCAGGTATTCGGAACAAAACGAAATTATGTCTAAAAGAAGGAAACTTTATGCGTGAACCTCAGTGTCCACACACTTGAAATTTTTGCTTTCAAAGAGAAATTTGCAAAAGAGTAGAATCTTGATTACTTTTTTGAAAACTATCTTTTAGATTCTGTTCGTTTCAAAAATTTTTTAACGCGCCAGAGGACAGATTAGATAACATCACACAACAAAAGTAGTTCTCTTACGTGCCAGATGTTCTACTTCGTTCTGCAATTTAAATTTCTAAAATTTTCAGTTTCAAGAACCATAACAAGACCACCCAAATGAATTACGATTAAAGATAGAAAAGTAAAAAACTAAGAATAATAAGCAAAAAGAGCATGTGCTATCATTAAAAAAGTCTTGCATAATCCTATTTTGTTGATTGCTACAACTGAGGATAAAAGCTCGACTGCCCAAAAGTTTTTCAAGTAGACCTTCAGCAAACATTTTTTCTTATCTTTGTCGATATGATCGAACAAACGCCATCGTTGCTTGACTTCCAAAAAGTAATTTCTACTGCTCAAAACTTCTTGTTAGTGTCATCACTGTGAATGCATGATAACTATATGCCAGACCTCTATTTTAAACCACAGAAATGCTTTAATTAATAGATTCAATAGCTTCAAAAATGATTATTCAAAGCTACTGAATATCAGGCCCAAAATTTCTTACATAGAACCAACAAATAAGAGTACCCTTAAATCTTACAGATGTAATGTGACGTGGTGACTTTTCCAATCGAACGTTAGCAGGAACTAGATTTGACTTGAATTTCCATCACTAAAATCGCGCTGGCAGGATGCAGCATTAGCGCGCAGAGCTAAGAAATTTACTTTGAGAACTCAATTATCTACCAGTACAGCTCCATAAAAAAGTGATCTTCCATTTGATAATTGAAATAATCAAAGAGATAATAAAAACAAAAAAATGCAATCCTTCAATAAAATGCGTAGTTATTGTGCATTTGTGCATGTAGTGTATGTGTATGTATGTGCTATGTATGTATGTATGTATGTATGTGCTATATGTATGTATGTGCTGTATATATGTATGTGCTGTATGTATGTATGTGCTGTATGTATGTATGTGCTGTATGTATGTATGTGCTGTATGTA